TTCTTTGCGCCAGTCTCAACACCCCCAGGTCCCTCAGCTGCTCCTCCCCACACTTGGGCTCTAGACACTTCCCCAGCTTTGTTACCCTTCTCTTGCCATGCTGTGGTCCCTCAAGGGCCTTCTTGGAATGAGGGGCCCAAAATTGGTTGTAGGATTTAAGCTGTGAAACTTTGTAGTGGAGAGGCTCAGGCCCCCATCCAGCCTGACCTGGAATGTTGTTAGGGATGGTCTTCTGCTGACCACTTGCCCCACATAGAGTAATATTATCATCAGTGGGCAGACAGCAGCCAAACTCCTCCCTCCACTCCTACATCATCAAAGATACAAAGCGCCAGACAACCAGAGGAGGGACAAGTCCATGCACTCACCCACCACAGGGGACATGAAGGAGGGAGCAGCCAGGCAAGGAGCCCAGGGATAGAGCAGGGACTCAGAGACAGCTTCATGTCCTGGCCCCACCATCCTGGGAGCTCCACTTGCCATGGAGAGCCCTCTCAATAGCCAGGACTCTCACACAGCACATCCATCATATAGGCAAGCCTGCAGCCCCAGTCAGTTCTTATATAATTGGCTTCTTGCCCCACCTCCAAGTTCATGTGGAAGGTGGGGGCACCTGGTGGTGATCTCCTCATCAGTTCTCACCCAAGGCTGGCCAGACCCTGGGTGAAAACCAGTCAGAAGGGGCTTTCTTGCCTGGTTGTGGGCATCATCCATCTGCCAACCCTTATTCAGGGCTGGGGGTTTAACCCCAGCACTTCAGATGGAGTATTGACCACCCCTCTGGGCAAACTGGGCCAGGGTCTCACCACACTCAGCATAAACAATTCCTTCTCTCTAGGCTAAATGTCCCTCTTTTAGCCTGAAACCATCACCCCTTGTCCTATCACTGCTGGCCCTGCTGAAAAATCTGTCCCTATTTTCTAATAGGCCCCTTGAAGTACAAGGGAAACTGGAAAATCAAAGCTGACACCTTGATTTGCAGAGGGAAGTGAGCTGGGAAACAAGAGCAGCCAGAGATTGGAAAGCAGGAGTCCAGCTGTTCCTGACCACACTGCCACATCCTCAGCAAACTGCTGCCTTGTTCATGTCTCAGTGCTGAGCTCCTGGGGCCATGAGGTGATGTCTGTGGAGACCACTTGGAGCTGGAGCCAGTTAGAGTTCTGCTGTTTGTGTTGGGCCATAGTGTGCAGGTAGACACTTGATCTGTTCTTATTAACTCCAGTTAGCTTTCCACAGGTGGAGTTGGAAGTGATCCATGTGTTCTCCTTCTTGGTTGCTCTATGTCATGTATTGCTTGCTCCAGAGCAGAGAAACCTGTGTTCCATCTCACACATTACTGTGTTTCCCTGTGCTCTGTTCCAGCCCATGGACCAGGCTTCTCTGAAGAACAGTGATGTTCTCATCCTGACAGGCCTCACACAGATCCCCACTGCTAACCCAGATGGCATGGTGGGAGAGTTCTGCAGCAACCTGGGTAGGTCGTTGAAAGCTATCTTTTGCCTATTTTATCATCTTATTCATTGCTTTGGGTGGGAAATAATTCAGAGATTCCTGGAATTGCCTAAGTTGTCCAGCTATAGCTTCTGGCATCAAACTACCTGTTTAGGTTTTACGACGTGCTCCTGATGTCATTAATACAGTAAGTGCTTGGAGAGACACAAGTCGTACCTAAAATGTTTTGGAATGGAACAGGTATAATGAGATTTAATCATCTGCTGCTCCTGGTTTGCTAAGTGTGTTGCTCAGCTGCCAACAGCCTACGTGTTGCCTTGGTTTGGGATATTGTTCCCAGCTGAAATATTACTATTTCCTTCCTCTCTGTCAGCCAGTGTAAAATCCTTACTTGCTTTTTTTATGACTTTCAGTTTTGAAAACAAGCACATCTGCTTCCCTTCTTACACCTGATTTTTAAATATATCAAAAGCAAACAGCACAATCTCTGCTTAAAAAAAAAATATATCAAGATATATTTATAGAGCCCAGTCATATAAAACCTAATCAGACGCTTTCACAGCTGGAAAAGCTGATAATTGCAAAGCTGTGATATCAGTGTGAATAGCAGCATTTTCCAGCCTGTTTGGAATGTCACATCCAGTGCTGTTCTCTCCTTCTCCCTTCCCCCACCTCAGTTCCTCTCTGCTCTCCTCCTTCTGTCATCAAACCACTTGCTCATGTCTGTCCTGCTATGTGTTGCCTCTTCTTTTATCAGAGATCTTCTCTGTTTTAAACTGACTCCTTTTTTTAAATAAGACTAAAAAGCTCCTGGTAGGAGGATTGTTACAGGGGTCATCAGAGGACCTGAGAAGTGTAAATCAGGGATTCCTCACTTTAAGCAATTGTTCTGGTCCCCATTGCATACCCAGGAGAAATTTGAGCTCTAGTATTTAGGTGGCTTACTCAGGGTTACAGAATAATGCTTAGAACAGAACTGAAGTACAAACAATTCTCAGTCTTACTTTTAACATGTGTACTCACCCTTGGAGAAGAAAAAAAAAACAGTAGTTTGGGTTTATTCCTGTTTTAGAAGCCTTGTGAATATTCACAGATGTTGAATATCTATGGACTGTCTCACAGTCCCAGTAGTCTCAACTGCCCTGGTAGTGGAAGACAAATAATGCAAGGGATGTGGTAGGTTTCTCCACCAACCATCAGCTCTACATCAAAAGTAGATATCCCTGTTTAGGACAAGTTTCAGTTTGATCAGGAGTCGTAGGTCCTGTTGTGGGACATAAAAGGTAAAATTACTTGGGGTTTGTTTATATGAAAAGTGAGTTACAGGGTGAGCATGATTCCTTGTGCTGTAAATACTGTAAAAATATTAATAGAGTGTGTTTAGGCATTTTGTAAGCATGGTAATCTTGGATTACACCACAGATCCTCTCTGCCAGCATCCTGGCTCCAGCAGGGATCGTGAGCAGATGTCTAGGGGAGCAGAAGAACAGGATGAGACTATATAATGCTTTCCCTTGTAGCCTCACAGCCTTCAAGGGTCTTTATTTCAGTAATTTCCTGAAACTGCTTTTGTGAGATTAGTAACATCCAGTGGATTTCTCCTCCAGGAACTTCTCCAGCCTCCCCTTCAAGCAGTTTTAGTTCTCAACATCTGCAACTTCCTTTGCTATGTGACGTGTTTATATGTGTGTGTATTATGGTCTGCACTTGTTTTTAAGCATTGTTAATTTTATTACCATATGAGCTGTTGCAGATAAGCTTTAGAGATCTTGTTATGCCAGATCCAGCTATGCTGCCCTTCTCTGTCACTTCTGGACCTCTGTGGGGGCTACCTGTCTCCCTGACAGATGGAGGCATGATCACATCCTACTTTAAACCACTAAAGGAGCAAGTCTGAGCTGAAATAGAATCATAGAGTTGTAGAATTGTTCTGGGTGGAAGACACCTTCAAGATCATAGAGTCCAACTGTTAACCCAGCACTGCCAGGTCCCCACTGCCCCGTGTCCCTCACACCACATCTCCACAGCTTGGAAACCCCTCCAGGGGTGGGGACTCCACCACTGCCCTGGGCAGCCTGGCACAGCCCTGGACAAACTTGGCAGAGAAGAAATTGTTCCTCATGTCCCACCTAAATCTCCCTGGTGCATCTTGAAGCTGTTTCCTCTTGTCCTGTCCCTTGTTCCTTAGGAGCAGAGCCCGACCCCCCCCTGGTTCCAACCTCCTTTCAGGGAGCTGTGGAGAGCCAGGTCTCCCCTGAGCCTCCTTTTCTTCAGACTACATAGCCCCAGCTCCCTCAGCCACTTCTCATAAGATTCATGCTCTAGATCCTTCCCCAGCTTCATTGCCCTTCCCTGGCCACACTCCAGCCCTTCAAGGTCCTTCTTGGAGGGAGGGGCCCAAAACTGATCCCAGGATTTGAGCTGTGAGACTCTGTCCTGGAGAGGCTGAGGAGCGGTACGTGCTGTCCCACTGCCAGCTCTGCTGCACATGTGCTCTGGCAAGACCCTCAGTGGTCACTCTTGTCTTGAACTCCAGCAGCTGTATGCTGAGTAAACAAGGGTGAGACTGTTAGTTAACATGCTATTAAAAATTAAACAAAGTCTCAGAGATGTAACTTGGGCCCAAGCGAAATGTAGAAGATGAATGTGTATAAATAAATGTGTTGCATATGTAGGTACAGGTGGGTGTTTTATCTGCACAAGTTTTTCTGCTTTACAGAAACATTCTGAACTATTTTGAGGGCTTTACTGAAGATCTTCAAGCCAGCTTCTGTTTCAGTAAGAGAAACTGAGAGAAATTAGAAAAATTTTGAGGCCAAAGTGTGTGGAGCTGCAGACCCTGATCCCCATGATCACCAAGCCACATGCATGACTTCCTCCTGCACTGCGTGTCCACACTGAGCCCAGCCTTTGTCACGTCTCCAAGTTCCTCTCAGTTCAGCCCAAACACCCTTTTTTTTCTCTCTGCTCAGCACTGCAGCACCAGCACTCTGCAGCTCGAGGAAAGCAATTGTATTTTTACATTGCCTTGGGCATCATCAGCAGAATTTCCAGACTGTCTGTGGGGACAGTGGGTGATATTTTGTGTGCGTGTGCAGTCGTGCTTCTGTGTGTGTGTTTATATAAAGCAGAAAAGAGCACAGTTTGCTTTTTAGGTGCCAACTTGACCTTGTGGTGGCAGCTGTTCGAAAAGCAAGTATCTCATTGTGAGTTGTAAATTGAACAACTTGTTATGGAGCTGCTGAAGGAGACTAAATTTGAAATGCCAAGATTATTATACAACTTTTTATCAAGAGAGTGCATCCATCAGTCACAGAGATAAATTAGGCTTTAAACAGCTTTCAAATATACGTGTCCTCTTACTGACAACTGTAGAAAGTTGCTGTGGTGGTGCAGAGAGCCAGACTGGACCTGCTGCCTGCATGGGAAGCAATATGCTTGTAAAGGGTTTTCATCCCTGTTCTGCAGAAGCTGGGAGGTAATTCTTATCCCTTTATGGAACCACTTAAGAGCAGCCTCAAGAAGTAGTGCCCAGCTGTGCTGACCACAGCACATACAAATAACCATGCACTGAGGAACTGAGTGGTGTATTTGAAACCAAAAAGTTGTCCCCATCTCTCAGTGGTGGGATAGCTGTGTCAGTCTCTTGTCCTGTCCTGTCCTGGAGACAGGCAGTAGTCACCAGGCCAATTTCAGAGGTTCACTCCCTGGACTGTAATTTTGTATAAATTATGGGTAACCAGCTCTGTAGTTTTCCTAGCAACAGAAACTCAAGTTGGTGTCTGCTCCAAGACCTTCCCCTCTGTTATTTTCTCTCAGGACCCAGGTATCTTGAACTTCTGGTTGGTTTGAACAGAAGTAGTTTGAGGTTCCCATAGCAAAGCAGGGGCTGCAGGGAAGGGAGAGCTGTGAATTCAAACTCTTTAAGGCTTAGGAATGAAACCCACATTTTTCATGGCCTGGACAAATTCTTCTCTCATTAGATGAGAGCTATTCCTCCTGCTCCTTCAATGTAGGAAAATGCTCTTCAGTGTGAAAAAATCCTACTACATTTCCCTAGACTCCAAAAAACCTTTAAACATTCAGCTGTAAAAATCTTCTTAAGGATGTAGGTGGGGCAGATAGACCCTTAATGTGCTAAATCTGTACCCCAGAAAGCCTGTCAGTAAACAGAAGTCAGGGAAGTGATTATGGTGGGATGTAATATATGTGTTTTCAGGCTCTTTCACAGCTTTTTGTGTAATGCCTGGGTGCATAATGTTACTGCTGCTGCTGCACTGCAATTAACATCAGGAGATGGTTTTACCCCATGACCACAGATGAAATCCTAGTGAGGCACCAATTGCTGTCTGAGCTGGACAAAGTATTGCCACTTCTCCTTAAGGTGCAGCAGTTTTGTGATTCATTCTGCCAAAAGAACAAAATGCTCTACTTGCTTTTGGTGTCGTACTCAGATCAGTCTCAATTACAGGGTAAACCTATTTTTCTGTTTTCTTCTCCTCATTTTCCCTTAGTTCCATGTTGTCTGCAATTCATAGAGGTTTTAAATTGTTCTTATATTGAAGGGGCAGAAATATTTAGAGTTTTTCAGAAGGAGAAACACTCCCCCAGCCTTTTCTAGCTTCCAGGGCTGTTTGAAACAACCACATCTTCAGCTGTTCATCTAGAACACTGAAAAATGAGTCCAGAACAGGTTACCATGGGTAGTGCTTTCAGCTGAGACCTGTGGACTGGTGTCCTTCCCCTCAGGTGGTGAGCAAAGAGCTGGAGCAGGGTCGATTTTGATGCTGAGGTGTTTTGAGTGGCTAGTTTATCCTCATGGGCCAGTGCAAGGCTGCCCTCTCGTGTCAGGAGTTTGGTGTGTGCTCAGTCTGTGAAGTGCCCCCAGCTAATGGAATGTAATCCTGTGCTCCACTGAGCCTGGAGAAGGCAGTAAATAAAAGTATTTCACAATCAGGAACATTCCTCCCAGTTGGTATGGATGCTGTGTGCTGCTAATTCATGCAGGAGCTTCCTTCCATACCTTATATAATATTTGGATTAAAGGAATTCTATTAAAAAGATTCAATATGAACCCTGTCAACTGTCTTTCCCTCAGCTATGACTGTCCGGAACGGAGGAAACGTGCTGGTTCCCTGTTACCCCTCTGGAGTCATATATGACCTGCTGGAGTGCCTGTACCAGTACATTGACTCAGCTGGACTCTCCAACGTCCCCTTTTATTTCATCTCCCCAGTGGCCAACAGCTCCCTGGAGTTCTCCCAGATTTTTGCTGAATGGTAGGTGTTAAAGGTCTGCTTTGTCAGCCTCAGTGCACACACTCAGCTGGGGTAAACTGACCTATGCAGGTTTTCTCTGCTTGACATGTTCTAATATATACCTGATTAGAACTGTGAACACATTCCTTGAGGCACAAGGGGGTGTGTGTGTGTGTGTGGATAGAGATTTTCTTTAATTAGGGGATCATGATTTCCTATAGAACATACAAACTCAAATAATTTGTACCCCTGTGCTTAGAACTGGTGAGGCTGCACCTCAAATCCTGGGGTTAGTTTTGGGTCCCCCCTTCCCAGAAGGCCCTTGAGGGGCTGGAGCGTGGCCAGAGAAGGGCAACGGAGCTGCTGGGGAAGGGTCTAGAGCCCAAGTGTGGGGAGGAGCAGCTGAGGGAGCTGGGGGTGCTGAGCCTGGAGCAAAGGAGGCTCAGGGGAGACCTTCTGGCTCTGCACAGCTCCTGACAGGAGCCTGGAGCCGGGGGGGGTCAGGCTCTGCTCCCAAGGAACAAGGGACAGGACAAGAGGAAGTGGCCTCAAATTGCACCAAGGGAGGTTTAGGTTAGACCTGAGGAACAATTTCTTCTCTCAGATGGTTGCACAGGCTGCCCAGGGCAGTGGTGGAGTCCCCATCCCTGGAGGGATTTCCAAGCCATGGAGATGTGGTGCTGAGGGACATGGTTTAGTGGTGGACTTGGCAGTGCTGGGCTAATGATTGGACTCAATGATCTTGAAGGTCTCTTCCAACCAAAACACTTCTTTGATTCTATGATCTCCCCTTTTTGGTGTTTGCACTGATGATGGAATGATGAACCTGACTGGAGTGAATTTCAGCTGGGCCTGTTTGCACATCTCATCCAGTGCCCCCAGAACTAGACTGTGGTCTCCCTGGAGAAGCACAAGAGATTTTTCAGGCTTAATTTTGCTGATCCAACAATGTATTTTCATGGCAAAAAAAAGGCCACCAGCATCCTGGGCTGCTGGTGGGGAAGAGGATGTGGAGAGTGCTGTATCTAGTCCTGGGCTCCCAGTACAAGAAGGATGTGGGCTTCCTGGAGTAAGGCCATCACAGGGCTATGAGGATGAGGAGAGGCTGAGGGAGCTGGGACTCTAGCCCTGGAGAACAGAGGGCTTGGGAGGATCTCATCAATGTGTAGAAATACCTGATAGGAAGAAATGAGGATGAAGGGGCCAGACTCTTCTCAGTAGGACCCACTGACAGAACAAGAGGCACAAATTAAACCACACAGAATTCTGTCTGAAGGAAAGAAAGGTATTTAACTGTGAGAGTGTTCTAACACTGGATCAGGTTGTGCAGAGAGGTTCTGGAGTCTGTCTTTCTTCTGGACAACTTGCTCTAGCTGACAGTGCTTGAGCAGGGGCGTTGCACTAGATGATCTCAAAAGGTTCCTTCCAACCTCAACTATTCTGGGATTCTGAGCTGCAGAGAGGAGAACCCAGCCAGGTGTAACTGTTCCTAAACTCTTACAGATGGAGACAGCCTCTGGATTATTCAATAGGGTCAGTTAGTTCTTCCTTAATCTCTTCCTCTCTGGATTTTTCTAGTTTGGAGTTCCGGAAAGATAAGAGAGGTCCTGGAAATCTTATGTGAGTGGATCCCTCCACTGGGATGGAAGGGGAATTGTAATGAGGATTGAAATCTGGTGCATTTTAGTCAGGTTATTTTCAGCAAAAGTAGGAAAATCAGGCCTTGGTGTCCTGGCCAGACTTCCCTGTACTCACCAGGGTGTGTTGACTCATACAGTTTATAGTTAAACAATTGTTTGGTTTGGACTTAGATGGTGATTTCATTTCAGCAGCAGCTGAAGTGATGGCTGCATACTTCTTGTTGTAATAATATTGTCTAAGTAGCAGGAACATTTCCTGTGCCAGTTGGGTTGTTTTATCTGCTGTCTAGCTGGCACAGTTCAGACACCCAAGTGTTCAGACACCACTTTTTTGAATTCTCCTTTGCTGTAGTGGCTGATATTCAAAAGTCAAACCCAACGTTAGCTGATCTCCAAACACTTTGGTGTTCAGATTCAGACTGAATTTCAGAATTCAGATTGAAATTCAGGGATCCCACCCTTCCAATTCTCCTATTTAGGCATCTCTAAAGAAATGTCCTGTTCTTTGTATCTCTTAGACTTTATAAAATTGAACTTGACCTGGGCTTACTGCTTTTTAATGAAGTGAAGGAAGGATGAGGTGAGTGATGTTTCCCTGCAAAAGCCACCAGGACAGCATCACTATGAGTAACTGTGGCATCACACAGACCTCTGACAAATACCTGTGTTTAACTTCTGTAATAGGATGAATCAGGAGTCTGGCAAGAGCTAATCAACAACTTCCAATATTTATGTTTTAAAAACAAATGATTGATGTGAATTAGCAGGTAACAGTGAGCACTGTGCCATGGTGAGAGGCAGGTACCAGCGTTGGAACTGCAACAATAAAATGTGTAGGGGAATTAGATTATAATGAAGAAAAGGACCAAATCATTGCTGAGAAGTAGGCTGAGAACATTGGAATTTTTCTGTTGACAGGTGATTTGGCTTTGGAAAAACTGCTGAGGTCTGGCTATGAAATGACATGGATGTTGAGTTACAAATTTGTCTTCAACAGCAAAGCAGTTCTGTGAAATAGTGGGTACAAAGTCATAGAATCATAGAACTGTTTAAGTTGGAAAAGACCTTTAAGATCATCCAGTCCAGCTGTTCCCCCAGCACTGCCAGGTCCCCACTGCCCCGTGTCCCTCACACCACATCTCCACAGCTTGGAAACCCCTCCAGGGGTGGGGACTCCACCACTGCCCTGGGCAGCCTGGCACAGCCCTGGGCAACCCTCCAGGGCAAGAAATTGTTCCTCAGGGACAACTGAAACCTCCCCTGGGGTAATTTGAGGCCATTTCCTCTTGTCGTGTTGCTTGTTCTGTGGGAGAAGAGCCTGACCTCCACCTCTCCACAACCTCCTTTCAGGCAGTTGTCAAGAGTCATAAGGTCTCCCCTGAGCCTCCTTTGCTCCAGGCTCAGCACCCCCAGCTCCCTCAGCTGCTCCTCCCCACCCTTGGCCTCTAGACCCTTCCCCAGCAGCTCCGTTGCCCTTCTCTGGCCACGCTCCAGCCCCTCAAGGTCCTTCTAGGAGTGAGAAGCCCAAAACTGAGCCCAGGATTTGAGGTGCAGCCTCCCCAGTGCTGAGTGCAGGGGGACAATCCCTGCCCTGTCCTGCTGATCCAATCCAGCTTACTGTTGGCCTTCTTGGCTACCTGAGCACACTGCTGGCTCATATTTAGCTGGTTGTTGACCAACACCTGTGGGTTCCTTTCTGCTGGGCACTTCCCAGCCACTCTGCCCCAGCCTGGAGTGCTGCAGGGCATTGTGGCCCAAGGGCAGGACCCAGCCCTTGGCCTTGCTCAACCTCATCCCACTGACCTCAGCCTGTCTTGCACCTTCTGTGGGTGATCTCTGGCTGAGCTGTGTCCTGTAGGGATTGAGCCTCTAACCTAAAGGACTGGAAGTACCAAAACAAAGCAGTGATTTTGCCCCTGATGGATAGCACAGGCAGAAAATGCCTTTCTCCAGAAAAGTTTGAACAGTAGATGGCAGTAGATGCTGCAGGATGTTCTGCACCTCTCTAACCCAGCTTGTGTTCTCTTACAGGTTGTGTCATAACAAACAAACAAAGGTGTATCTTCCAGAGCCTCCTTTTCCCCATGCTGAGGTAAGTAAACCCTGGTCTTGCTGTTTGCTATGATCACAGAGTGGACTTCTGGAACACTTGGGGTGGTTGTTTTTCTGATGAACACTCCTACAGCTACTTAATAGTTTTGTGTCATTCACATAAGTGGTTTTTTTTTTAATTTGCTTTCTGTGATTAATTTGGGATTGTGGAGGAGGAATGAATGATAGTGTTCCTTCATCTAACCTACATATGCTTGCCTTTTGAACTTCAGAAGGCTATCTGGCATGCACATGGTTGAGTGTTTGCTCTTATCAGCCTGCAACCACAAATATTCCTTTTGTCCAAGCATTTTATTTCCAAGTCTGTGAAACCAGAAGCTTATCAGAGACAGCTCAGTCATCCCAGCTCTTACCTTTGTAGCTGAAACAGGCACCATGTTGTCTGCTGCAGGAGAAACAGTGTCCTGAAAGAGAGCTTTGATATAAAAGTTAAAGCTTGCAGCACTGAGTGCTGTCATTGGCAATTTCAAATGAAATTACTTGAGCCAGCATCTTAGTGAAGCAAGGAGAAATAAGGTTCTTGTGCTGGGGAGGGAATCTCCCTGCAACGTACTTTGAGGGGATCTTCCCTGTGGCAAAACAATCATTTGAAGGGAAGTTTCAGCCAACTGGATATTAAATAAATGTGACATAACTCATGCCTTCAGAGTCATCTCACAGAATTATTCAAGAAAAGAAATCTCTTACTTTCTCCAGTGGGAAGAGGTAGATTTCTCACTGAGGTAAACAAGAGGTGGGCTGAGAAAGGAAGAAATGGGACTGAGAAATCATTTTGGCTTAAGTCCTCCTGCTGTGAGACAGTGAGCCCTTGGGGGCACCTAGTCTCAGAAAACTGGCTCTTGTAGTTGCTGTGATCAAAACTGTGTGATGAGATGTGCAGAGTGGCTGTTGCAGGTGTAAGAGGCCAGAGATGAAATGCTTTTGCAGGCATTGGTTGCTTTTTTTCCCCTCTGAGATATCTCATTCAGGGACTTGTTCTGGAAGTTACCACTGCCCATCCTCTCTGTCATCTGTAGGTAATTCAAAGGCATTGTTGGAAGTGGAATCTGACCAAAAGCCCTCACTTTTTCTAGATGCTTGAATGCATTTCAAGCAGGATGCACAGTAAATTATTATAAAACAGTAAATTTTCTGTTACCAAGAAAATTTCAGGCTGCAGGGCACGCCACCTATTCACCAGCTTTTTGTAACCAAAAAAAATCACATCAATAAATCAATTCCAAAGCTTGATCTCTGAGTGCAAGACTCTGTTGCACTCGTGCTGCTGGCTGGACTTTCTCATTTTCCCTGCATCCCTTGCTTTCTGGGGTGTCCTTGTTGATCCACAGTGTCATTGGTTTCACTGACAGCCTATGTTCTACCAAAGACATTGCTTCAAAAGTTTAGTTCACAATGTGCACTGGAACTGGCAGGTTTCAGTGAAAACCCTTCCAAAAATGAGAAGCCAAACATGCAGCTGTCAAAGACTGGATTAATTAACACATTTTACATGATGGGTCTTTGTGTCTATAGAGTGATAACTGTGTCCTCTAATTTTTAGGATGTTTTATATTCTCCAGAGGCCTGTTGATAAGGCCTGTTGATAATGAGGTTTTGCCAAATTGTTGTTGAGCTGTTGAGACATTCCTCTGTGCTTCAGGTACAGATCAAGGTAATTATCTAGGAAAGGACTCATGGCAGTAGATGACAGATCAGTTGCCTGATGAGAAAATGCACAGAGGGAGTAATGTGCCTGCTACAGGTTTATTATTTGATTGATAAGGCCAAATCATACAGGTTATGACCCAAGAAACTGGGGCCTCATGAGGTGGACAGACAGCTTTCTTGAGACCCATGGATATCACTGATACAAAGCCACTCTTTGGCTTCTTATGTTTTTGCCTGAGGGTTGCCTTAAATCCACACAACACCCCAGTGTACTGTGTGTGCCCATCCTTGTGACACACATCTCACACTGAGTCCTCCTAACACAGCTGGGGCTGGGGGGCTGTACACTTACAGCTGCTTATAAACACTGAGAGGTGGAGTAACTGCACTAACCAACCCCATGAGGGACTAGATGGGTCTCTTCATGGCTAATTCCTGATAGATATTGAAAACCAGTGTGGATGGTGAGAGGCAGTGGCCCCAGGTGTATAGCAGCACTCTCTCTTCAGCTCCCTGTGGGGGGAGGTTGGAGCCAGGTGGGGGTCGGGCTCTTCTCCCAAGGAACAAGGGACAGGACAAGAGGCAACAGCCTCAAGTTGCCCCAGGGGAGGTTGAGGTTGTCCCCGAGGAACAATTTCTTGCCCTGGAGGGTTGCCCAGGGCTGTGCCAGGCTGCCCAGGACAGTGGTGGAGTCCCCATCCCTGGAGGGGTTTTCAAGCCATGGAGATGTGGTGCTGAGGGACGTGGTTTTATGGTGGACTTGGTCCTGGGTTTAAGCTCAATGATCTTAAAGGTCCTTTCCAACCAAAACAATCTTCTGATTCTGTGATTCTAAAACCCTGGCTTAGTAGCAAAACCAAAACAGGCAAAAGAAGTCTGAGGGTGTTGTTTTCTTTAGTGCTTTTCCTAAGACCATAATTCACTGAAGTTTAGACACTGAGAACACCAGATCAGGTTGCTCCTTGCTGTTTGGTAAGATGCACTGCTTGGTTTTGACATAGATGGCTGACAGGTAAGACACCCATGCTCACCCCCATGGCACCAAGATGCCCATGTCAGGTACCCAGCACCTGCCTTTGGCTCCTTGTTGCTGTCCTCTGGGCAACAGCTACTGTCACCTTTTCACTCCTGTCATTCCCAGCTGCCTTGGGCTGTGTTCCAGTTCTAGTGGTACCTACAGCTGGGTATGGTTCAGTGAGGTCACAGTGCTTACTTCTCCTGAGGCTTGCTTCTTCTTCTGTGAAATAGAAGTTGGAGCAGTGTAAACAGGGAGCAAAAGCTTGCAGCTGCCACTGTGTGTAACTCATATGATGTGAAACATCTACAGAACACCTTTCCAATACAATCTTTACCAAATGCATTATTTATTCCCTGGCAGAAACCCTGTTTGGCCTGTGCAAAGAGTATCCATGATACGTTCAGCTACTGTGAAATTTTGGTGTAATTTTACAAAGCTAAAGGATCTTAATACTAGACCTGGCCTGAATAACCTGTCTGTGGCCATACCATCACTCTAGGAGGGAGCAAGGACTTGGACTCAAGGCTTCCAGTTTCCAAGCCAGAGCCTTAGCCAGCAGGCAGCCCTTTTGTCTTAGGCAAACTCTCTTTCTAGATCTGTGACTCCACAGCCTCATGATGAGGAGCTCTGCTGCTAGCACTTAAGGGCATTTTTAATGAGCATCAGAAGCAGAGGCTGAAGGATCATTTCTAGCAGGTAGGCTGTTAGAGGAGAACTTCTGTACTTTTTTTAATGTAACCTACATGGAAATTGCCCATCATGAGCAGATGTGTGTAGCTGCTCAGTTGTTGGAAGACAATAGGGAATTACTGAGACATGCCTCTTAGGTATTAGCAAGCGTTAATAACATGCCTGGCATGATACATCAGAAGGGGACAGGCCAGGAAATAAGCTCCTAATTATCTACAGAACAAATCCAGCCCAGCATGCTGTCTGGTCCTGAAATTCAAAGTTCCTCTTAGTTGTTTAAACAACAAGATTGAAAAACAAACAAGGCCAAAAATTCTCCATAGTGTTGATGTCCTCTCCTGCAGCAGTGAGTTCCTGTGGTCCCTGAGGCAGAGTGTAAAAGGGCATTTATGTCCTTTAATCAGCTATGATGGGGTTTTGCATTTCACTTCACTTTCCCTTTATGGTTGTTACAAGAGGATAAATAAAAGTATCTTCACCTTTCTTCACCTTCCCTACAATTATTATTTTTATTTCATCCTCTTCTCTCTACACTAAGTTGTTTGAAGCTTTTTCACTCTCTTTGCATGGAAATTTTCCAGTTTTATGATTTATGTTACCTGTTTTGATCTCATTCCTTGTTTTGCTATGCTGAATAAAACCAGCACACACTGGTATGTAAAAATAAAACCCACACTGTTCAACCCTGCACAGAACCCAAAACACTTCTAATCCCTCCTTGTTACTTCTGCTTTAATGTAGTAGTAGATACTCCTCATATCTCCTCCCACACAATCACTGCATGACAAGTTTTTTTTGGGTGGCAGTTTGATCCTGACATCAATCCTGAGTGAACAGGGAATAAGCTAAAGTGCTTCAGGCTTGTAGGGATGGACTTGGACATCAACTCAGACTGAAGTTAATGTGAATGGAATGCCCAGATTCTTGCACAAGCTTTTGAAGTCTCATCTGCAGCCTTTTAGTGGTGCACAAGCTGAAAGAGCTTCTTTTTAAAGGCACTGCTCTGGGATCACTGGGGCAAGAGTTCCTGAGCCTCTGCTGGAGGGAGTGAGGGTCTGGAGCTCTGCTTTCCAAGCAGCCACTCCTCAGGAGGAAAACTGGGGAAGTGGAGTGGAGGAACAGGCAGTGAGGGAGAGGATGGATCACTCTGTGGATGGCTCTCACCTGTGCTTAAACAAAAGTGGCAGTTCAGTTTTTCACCAGCACTTGGTGTGGTGGGGAAGAGATGGGAAGAAGCTCAAACTGACGTAATGTTGGAAGTTTCTGAAAGTTAAAAATTGGGGTTCCAGATGTGCACGTGCAGCAGGCTGGCTGAGGGAGGTTGTGGCTTTCACTTCCAAGGCACTGTATCCCTTATATTCTAGGGTCAACTGTCTGAATAGGCTTAGATTTAAGCTCCACAATGCCTAGCTGAAAGGCTGTGGAGCACCAATCAGTAATTTATTTCCTTTAGAATGTTATTCTGCTATCCCAGAACCAGCTTGTGGTGTTTCACCAAATCCCCTGAGCACATGGGAATGTCCCATCCTAACACAGCCACCATCTCCCCGACCATTTCAGCTGTGGGTTGTGTGCTCTGCACCATCCCCTTTGTGGAGGTAGAGACATGATAAATGAAGAGCTGAACTGTTCCAGCAAGACAAAACAAGAAACTTTTTGCCCCTTTTCCTTTCTGCTCGATTTTTACATAGACAATTTCAGGCTATAAGATAAGTGAATCCAGACTTCTCTAAATGTCTGCAGCAGAAAAATTTGAGAGATAACTTATATTGATCAGTATTTGCTAGCAGAGGAAGAATTTGGATTTACTGTCCTCTTATTAAGGATTCTGTTAGCAACATCTAAGAGAAATGGCTGTGAAAAGCCTCTTTTTCTGACTCAAAAAATAGCCAGGGTGGGAGTAATATTGATTCTTTGGCCTTAAATACCAACATTTGTCTTCTTTGTCTTTGATTGCCTCCTCCATATACCAGTTCCTGTGTAACACATTCAAAGCAATAAATACCTGGCACCAGGTGATTGTATGGTATTATGTTTTGCCTTATAGTATTATCTAGAATTAGATCCCTGTTAGTGTTGGTCTTACAAAGGGAGTAAGGGAGGTGAAGTAATAAATGCATCACTCATTCACTGATAAGGACAACATCTGCTCAAAATTCTGGATACAGAACATACAGGCACACAGAGTAAATATCAGTGTGTTTTGGCTCCCTTCAATAAAGGGTACACAAGGGCTCTGGAGATTTATCCTGTTTATAGCAGCAGTTGCTGACCCTCTAAATCAAGCCTACTGCTTTAAAGGGAAGCATAACCATTGGGGATTTAAAAAAATCCCAGCTCTCCTCAGGCTCAGTTCAGTACTTTACCATCCTCTATCTCTTAAGCTTTCAGTCAATAATGGTTCTCTCTATAGAAAGATGCTCTGAATGTTGCTTGTGGTCTCCAGAAATCAGGCCTGGGTTGAAAATATTGGTTGGCTAAATGCCAGGCATTGGTTTTAACCCAGGCTGGGTGCAGCTTGGAGGTCTGAACATGGCCCAGTAATGACTGTTGTGCTTACACAACCCATCGTAGCTCTAGGTAGAAAAGACCTGTGCAAATCATTAGAAATTTAGTCCCCTTAATGACTTCTGGAATTTTGTGGACCTGTTTTGCAAGTTCAGCTCCATATATTTTCGATGGGGTAATTAGAAAAGATTTTGCTCTAGACACTAAAATCTACCAGCTGCTTTATCACTGGAGTGTGTAGAATGCCTGGAAATTTGTTTTTGCAGCATTTCACCCCTGCTATGTCCAGCTGTGAGAACTGGAGATTGTGAGCTGAGATACAGAGCTTCAGCAGACTTATCAGAAAAGATCTTTCAAGATAAAAGAAAAGGTGAACAAAAAAAATCACCACACCTCAGGACCATACTGAGGATTCAGTATCTGTCCCTTGTCCCTCCTGAGTTAGCACCCTCGTTAGAAGCCGTGCACCCCAGTGTTACACTTGGTGTTTTCCTGGTGGAATTAAAAAAAATATAATTAAAAGAATGACACAGGCAAAACCCAAGGTCCTGAAAACTGGATTAGAGATCATGAGTCTCTCTACAGAGTAATAGGAAAGGATTTGAAGCTTCAATGCTGCTTTGAAGAGAATACAGCTTTTATATTCATAAATAATGAACATTCTTAGGGGTATAAGCTGCTGAGAATGCTTCTGCACACAGAGTGCTGCTCTCCTATCTCAGCAAAGATTTGAATGGTGTAAACACACACATATAATCCTAAGGAACCTGTGAAACAGGCTGCTGGAAGAACAGTTTGTGATTCTCAGGAGGGTGTTACATAAATTCTAGCTCTAGAAATGTCTTTCACTTAACTATTTGCTAGTCCCCAACAAAGTTTTGCCCCAAAATGTCACATATCCCATTTAATATTTAAAAGAGAAGTTGCACCCTTCTTCCAGATTACTCAATTGAAACTGCTTTTGCAACTTCAGTTTTGAGGCTTTTTGGCTTCCCTCAAATAAAACAGGGAAAAAATTCTTTGGGTTTTCCTACTCCCTCTTTTAAATGCTGGCATTTTATGGGATCAAATTTGTTTTGCCCATTGTCTGCTTACTGCAGTTTTTATTACTGAAGCTAAGTTTAGATTCTAAATATTGCAGGCTAGATGTGTTAATCAGAAGTCTTTACCTGTCTTAATTGCAGAAATGTTTTCAAGATTTGGTGCATATTAACAGGCAGAGCAGTTATTGGATGTTTTCTTCCAAATTTCCCCCCAGAAGATGAAACAGGACTTTGATATCATTAGTCAGCTGCAGGAGGTGTAGTCCCCTGCCTCCTTCCTGGATGATCCAAGGATCCAAATGGAAATTACAGGCTCTGACCACCAACAGCTTCTGTCTTACATCAAACCCCAGGGGGAATGATACCAATCCCATTCCAGCTGTCTGCCTATAGCACAGGAGGTATAAACAGGACCTGTGGGAAGTCACATGCAAAATCAGAGCAAAATATTTGCTGTTAGGAACTTGAAGGACACCAAACTTGAGGAAGCAAAGGAGAAGGGTGTAAATATTGGCACCTAGGTGCATCCAGCTTTCTGTTACTGCAAGGCCATTGATGATAAGTTTGTACCTCGTCTGTTCCAGCTCCAAAACATGTCTTTAGATGGTGACAGCTGTAAGCTGAGCAGGACCTGTGGGAAGTCACATGCAAAATCAGAGCAAAATATTTGCTGTTAGGAATTTGAAGGACACCAAACTTGAGGAAGCAAAGGAGAAGGGTGTAAATATTGGCACCTAGGTGCATCCAATTTTCTGTTACTGCAAGGCCATTGATGGTAAGTTTGTACCTTGTCCAAACCATTGATGGTAGGTTTGTACCTTAACCAGCTCCAAAGCATGTTTTTAGATGGTGACAGCTATAAGCTGAGTAGGGTTGATACTTTTGTTTAGTGATGCTAAATTCAGATAGAATTATAGAATTGTTCTGGTTGGAAGAGACATCC